TATGCTATATGGTAGATTTCAAAAAATTCCCACCTCTCAAAGATTTTGTCCCTGTAATGATACTGGTCCTGAAACAGTGGATCATATTTTATTGTATTGTGAATTTTATAAGAATCTTTGGCAGGAAGTTATCTGGCCTGTTTTAAAATCTAAACCAGGAAGGGATTCTTCTGAGTATGTAAAAATTTTACTTGCAGATGAAAATCCTGAGATCACAGCGGCAACAGTCATATTTTTAACTATGGCTATAAAAGCAAGGTTTTTAGTAACAAATCAATGAGTTGGGCCTTTAGGTGTATCATGTAATATTTATTAAATATTTTAGTTGTTAAATTGTTTTATTCAGTGTCAAGCCTATGTTACATTTGTAACTTGTTTTCCGGCCTTTTGGGTGTAAAATAAATAGATAAATAAAAAATTAACACTTTTTAGGAACTCACCGCACTGTGGAGAAAAGCAGCTCAGGAAGCGATTGCTTGTTTAAGCCATCTCTCTGCTCTGTAAGGGGGGGCGGGGAGAAAAAAAATGGGTCAGGCACAGAAGAATGCATACTGATTGTAATGGTGAACATGTGACAGAGAGACTGCAAAGGTCGTAAATGCGCGCCTTTGGTCACAAAGTTATTTTTCAGCACTGTTGTAACTTCGAACAGTCATTGCATAAGGCAGTCAGTAAGTGAGGTCTACCTGTACCCATTTCTGTCTGTTTTTGTCCAAATTTATTATACTTTTTTAAACATTAGTATCCTGATTGTGTTGACCAAGAAATTAAGAGACTGAACTTGAAAGGAGGAATATTTCAATTTAAATAGGACTTAAATACTATATGTGGGTTGCAGAAATCCAGATGACCACTAGATGGCAATAAAGAGAGACAGAAACTGTTAACATTTTGTTGCCATCTAGCATTTGTCCAGATTATCCATATTGTAGTCCTAAATCAGTTAGCAGTTCTCTTTAAAAGATCTTATAAAAAATTGGCCATCAACCCCAGATAAGTTGTTGCTGCTGTTTTTTATAGCTAAAAATTACAGCAAATAAGGCCTGAAAATGTAGGAGTCAGAACGCATGATTGACCAACAATGTTGTATGAATTTCCCATGAAACAACAGTGAACAAAGGATACCAATTTCAGGGAAAAGGCATAAAGGAGAAGACTACATTATCTGCTTAACCTAGTAGCTTACTAGGTTTCCTTGGACAAGTCACTAAAAGGAGGTAATACCATGTCCTTTCCCTCTGGTTGTTTGGAGAAAAATGGATTTTGCCAATTTCTTAAATAGATGTTAGACTATGACCAATTGGATGCACTCATTTTTACAGGTTTAGCTTAACACTCTTGGTTGTACTGTTTCCTAAGGATTCATTAAAACTGATACATGTTTCTGAACAGAACCTTGCATGCCTGGGTCAGAATTGGAGTTCAGTTCCAAGATAAAGTGCCAGTTGAGATCCGTGAGAACCACTTAAAAATATTTAAAAATATTTATTTTGAGGAATAGGTTTATGATTACTATTTGGTTATATCCCTCAACTTCCCTGGCACCCTTTAACACCTTATTTGTTCTGCCTATTACAATACGTTTCTTTTTCTTTTTTGTTACTACTGTCATTTCATGTGAGTTGCATCAGATAATTAAACTGGATTATACTGAAAACATATATAGGCTTTCCCCAACTTGATGCTTTCCTAAAGTATTCTGTCAACCCTAGACCCAAACATCTGAGAGGCACTAAATCAAGGATGGCTAGATTATGTCAAGAATCATTAAAATGTAATAAATAAAGCATACCCATCTGAAATGCTTTGAATATTCTTGCTTGGGGGATGGAAAGGAAACAAATGCAAATGAATGTATTACTGCACAGTTTTACTCAGATGTAAATTGCTCCATCTGCATTATATCTTAGGTCCAGTTAAATATATATTAATGATCTTAGTTTCTCATATTGTGGCTGGTATAATATTCAACAAGAAGTCATTACATAAATTCTATTTTAAATTAAACAAAAAAGAAGGTTAACGTGGGGAGGTATACAAGCTGATTCTGTACTCAGATATTGTACAGTACATTCTTAATTTAGTAATTCTATTTTGGAACATTTATACAATCTACAAAAATAAGAAAAATAGCTTGCTTGTGCACCCATTACTATTCCTCCATAAAAGCCACATTCCACAGACTAGCTTCATAATAATTTAAATTATACAAAACTTATGGGATTTAATTTTGCAATAATACCTTAACAGAATAAAGTGTTAACCATCTATTTAGATAGTTATTTTCATTTACTTCCTCTGCTGATCTTTTTCTTCCTTCTAAAAATGGGCCAGAAGAACCATGTGATGTGTTGTTATATAACTCAATCCCTATCCACTCACTGGATAGATGAAGCTGTACTTTTTCTCTTATATAATAATAAGATTATTTTTTTCAGCAGAGTTTACTTTCCAAGACTTTTCCCCTTCTAGTACCCCAAGGCACAGTCCTACTGAATCAGTTACCATCTGCTCCAATGTTTGCATTTAGCCTAGAGTGTTTGTGATCTCAGAAATATTTCCTGTAAATGGAATCCCTCATGCCAGGCATGTCACACAATAGATATGTAATTGGATAAATTCTAAGCTGGGAACTTCAAAACAATAAGGAGAACTACATATTGTTTTATAAAAAGTGCATGATTCTCTCTTTACATATGAAACTACTTAAGTATATTTTTCTTGAATTACATAAAAAATAATCCAATTTAATTATTAAGATCAATAGCACTTTTCTTCCTTCCCCCTGGTCTAACATATGATCTAGGCTTGTTGCATTTAACTATAAATATATGTCACTAGAGGACCTGAAGTAAGAAAAACATATAGGTTAAATTTGCTTTGTTAGATATAAGTCGGTTTCTGGGGTAAGCTTATAAATAAAATTGTACCTGAATCTTACCAGGAAAAATTGAATGATAAAATATAAGGAAGTTATGAAATGTTGATAACTTATTTCTATAAAGAATGAGCTACGCTTGTGATCATTAAAAATTACATTGAGTAGAAAGACATTTTCACCTGGCACCTAAAAAACAGGGTAAGGCCAGGTAAGCCCTTCTGGGGAGGACACTCTGTAATTGGGTGCTGTCTCTGAAAAGGCCTTAAGGTACAAATAAAAAAGGTCTCCAGTAATGATGTTGGATAGGCATTCTAGCATATAAGGAAGAGGGAATCAACACTGAACCCATTTTGAACCTGCAGTTATCAATACCTCTCATACAAATGTTAAGCCAGGTTAAACAGCATAGGTGAAGAATATGCTTTGGCTACTTTTTAAATAAGAATCTATGAAGAGTAATTCTGGAGTTGTGAAAGATTGTAAAGCTGACCTTGGGAAGGGGGAATGGGAAGAGAGCAATGAACCCTTAAGGGAGACTATTCAATCTTGAGAAAGTGGAAGGTGTGAGAAAGTTTGATATAAGATTGGCAGAGACAAGCTCTGACAGGCTTTCAAGATTCTCATATTCTACTCTGTAATAGTAAAGAACATTCCTGGAAGCCACGCTGCTTCTGTTTCTTGAACTTGCCTGCCTTGAAGGGCTGTTGGGGACAAACCAAAAACTCATGTTGCCTCTGTTCTCACAGCGGCCAACCAAAATCTTTATGGGAAATTCTTGAGTAGGACCTGAATGCATCTTTTTCCACTGTAAGGCCTTTCAGTAAAGAGGTGATAACAAAATAAAAGCCATTTCCAGGAGAGAGGATGAAAGCAGAATTTGTCATTTAAGGCAGATTGTGACTCCATCACTCACACTGAATGCAGAAACCTGCCATGCCCAAAATGGCAGAACTGGCCTCTGAGGTGCAGAAGACCATCTTCTGCCAGTACAGATGGCCCCCCAGCAGACATGAATGTGAGGCCACATGGCGGACTATCCCAACCTCAGTGGAAAGACACCACACTGTACAGAAACAGGTTACTCGCAAGGAGACTATAATTACTTCCAGGACCTGACACAGTTAACACTCTCATTACCAACCACCCATCTCATTAGGGTGAAGGCTGTACAGATGCATGAGTCTAGCCAGAAAGATACATAAACCAACATGTCCTAGTTCCCCAGTTGCTGGAAGCAACTTCTGCATCTAGCTTCCACTCTGTGCTCCTTATCTAGGTTGTCTCTTGCTTGCTCCAGGCAGTGACTCGATTCAACTTGTTGTGATGTGATGTGTTGTGTTGTGTTGTGTTTATATGACTGCCCAATTCTCAAGAGCAATTCTGGGTGATTTACAGTTTGAAGAAACATGAAAGCAAGGACTTAAAAATGAAAATAAATACAATATAAAGTAGTATAAATAACCTTTAGAACATAAAACAACAACAGAATAACAGAAATTACTATAATATCAGAAGTAACAATAATAGCAGAAGCAATAATATTCTTATTATAGAGATTACCTTTTTCTATGTTCCCCTGATCTCGGACTATCTGACCGTGGTTCACCATCTTCTCCTTCAGCTTCAGAAGAACTCAGTATGCCAACTCAAACAACTTGTTCTTCTGTGCCTCAGTCTCTGTGCTGGCAACTGCATGTACAAATGTACACACCCCACTCTCCTGTCCTTCACCTTCTGTTCTGGGAACTTCTGTTCTGGGAACATTCACCTGACTCCTGCTCTTCATGCTAGCAACTCAGCGCACAACAGGCTGTTGCACTTCATTGCTGGCCAGACCACAAAAACCTTACTTGTGCCATATGATCAGAGTTTTGTCTGTTTACACTAGTATTGTACTGTGGTAACTTGGATGTGGGGAGTTCTGCTGGACTGTCACGGTGCTGACTTAACTGCAACGTTTTGCAGCCTTGGAAGTGAAACCCATGGTCATGAAAACAGCTCTTCAATACAACTTTTATTGGCTATTCTATAAACATATTGGTACCTAGCACAAATATTTATTTTAGGACATAGTAAGCTTATTAGAAGTCTAAGTGAAGTTTTTTTCCCCATATGATGCTTTCTTATAATTGAACATCCAGACCATTAAAATTGGAGGTAACACATCTGGAAGGCACCAGAATGAGGAAAGCTACCCTATTGATTGTTGCCTGATCCTTTTAACATTGAGAACTAGCTGGTACCTTTTTGTTATGGGCCCATCCACACATATTTGCACTGATGCAGCTGTGATGTGTCAGTGCCATGTTCCCACAACAGCCAAGATTTTTTTTTTTCTGGCAGTGCAGCTCAAATTTGTGATGCTGCGGTTCTAGAAAGTTAGGAGTAGGATTTTCCCATTCAAGGGAGCTCTTGCATCACTCTGTCTCTAGCTGCTTGAACTTAAAGCTCTTTAGTAGATTTCATAGGCAGGCTCTTCAATAAATCCAATCTTGATTCTTCTAGTCAGGTTCAGTTGTCCTACTTGATTTTGTCTTTTCTTTTTTTTATTTTTTTTTGCTTACCTAAGTAGCATGTCGGAAACTCTTGTCTCTCACTATCTCCCACCCTGTGGGCTTAAATGAGGTATCACCTTCCCCACCTACCCCATCCACATGTGTAGAGATTGTATATTACATCCTACGATCATGGATGCAGCCTGTAGAAAAAGTGCCTGGCTGGAAAATGAGAGGCTCGTGGCATTATTACAGTATTCGGTATAAATTTGTATGCGAGAGGAATGATGTCTTGAAGGCCATGCAACCTTACCCTCATATTCACACCTCCAGTGTTGGCCAGACACATACAGTATGTACCGAAAACATAAAGGGGAGCAATTTATTTTTTCCTCTTTCCTTACAGAGCAGAGGTGAAGGGACTTCTGTTGCTCCAGGAGCTGCTCCATGTAACTCAAGGAACGGATACTGAATGAATAATGTCTTTGCATTCTCCTGTCAGTTGGGTGAAGGAATGTTGATTATCTAATAGCATTTGCTGCCTGGTCTCAGTGTTCTGAGGTTGGTAACATCTGGAACTGGTCTACTGAAACCTTGCCATTTGGATGCTAGATGCTTTTTCCTTAACAAACACAAAGAGTAGGAATTGCCTTGCTGAGCCATACTAAAGCTTTATGAGAGGGTGGGAATCCAAATCCATATCCAAAGGAGGAAGGACATCAGGTGGGGGGGAAGCTAATTTTCATTCATTGTTGTAAAGTCATCACTAACCACAGATAACTTTTGGAAATAAGTTTGTAATATACTTTCTTTGTTGCCTCAATTATTTAGGTATATTTAATTCCACCCCCACAATGGAAATTCATACTTATGCTGCCTTCCTATTATTCCTGAAAGTAAATATGTTTGGCAATAGTGATATGCTAAAGGAAATCATCCAATCAAGAAGAGAAAGAGCAAAAGAAATTTAATTTATTTTCAATAGGTAATAGGTTGCTTTTATGTGTGTACATACTTTCAAAAATAACTCAAGCCAGAAAACCTCTCTTTTCCTGAAGATAAATGATTTTTGTTTCGGCTTGAATGTCCTATCATAAAGTAACCCTAACACCAATAAATAGGCTTGATATTGTTGGACATTGCTTCCAACCAGATTAATCACTGTCATTTAATGTACTATTCTAAACTTATTTGTGGAAAATATAGATGGTGTACCAGACAGTTGAAACTACCTAATCCCTTTAAAATTCAAAAATAAAAAGATTAAATAATTTATCAGTCCACTACATCAGTCTATTCCATAGCAGCTTTTGTCATCTTATTTTCCTGGAACTATTAAAACCTCTTAGATAATATTTCATGCATTAATGTAATTTGGCCTTCACTTTTTGAAGAGTTTTTGAAATCTGTTTTTGGGGGAGGAAAGCAGAGTACCACTTCCTACAAAATATTTTCCATTCTCATCCAAGGCTGTAAAAAGTAATGAACCTACAGACTCCAACCAGGAGGAAAAAATTAATGAACTAGAATAATATTTTTATGTATGTGCTGCAGATATATGTGCATATTTTTCAAACTTCTACAAAAAAAAAATGAACAGTTACCAGCACTAATGGATTGCTTATAGAAAAAGGTTGCATTCTTATTTCAACACACTGTCTTCCTCACTGATCCACTTTGATTCTAATCTGTTCCTTTTTTCACACATTTTGGTGTGATAAATAATATGCTGTAACTTCAAAACAGCAGTCAAAAATTGCAGACATATACTTATCATGGGGCATCCCCTGGTATGGCTTTGTGGTCATAAAGCATATATTTTACTGGTAATTTTATTGGGACTTTTCCCCATTTCCTTTTTATTTCCTACCATTTACATAATTTCTTGCTAGATTCTTGTGCTATTATGTGTATTTTTCGGTCTAGGAAAGTACCAAGATGTTATACTTTTTATTGTATCAAAGCTTTCTTCTCCCACTTAGAACTTGAGTAATAAAACACTGGTTGCTTTGTATGATCTCAGAAACAATTCACTATGTCCTTACTCATGTACATTTCTCATTCATTAGAGGAGGGGGGCATGTAGGAGATCATGCAACATTTCTTGAAGTTAATTATGGGAGTATTGTGTTGAAGCTAAGCCAGTCAAGCTCTTCAGTGGGTATATTGATTCATCGGTCATCACTTGATCACTACATTCATATGATTCTTATATCTAAATGTTATCATAACAATGTGGGAAAAAAACATAGATATATAGTTGTCATATCAGTCTGGTGACACATTAATCTGCCCCCATTCATGTGGAACTTAAAGTGCTTTGCCACTGAGTTCATTGGGAACAGAGCTACAAAAGTTTTGAAAGAACATTTTATTTTTCTTTATAATTAGCATCTTGCATAAGTAACCATAAATAATTTTGGTTCAGAATAACATCTTCACTAAAGTTTTATGTTTTTTTGTTTTAGAATTACCACTTGTTTCACCCTTCTGGTTATTTTCACTGCCATTCTGACTTGGAAATGTAAAATGAATTTCATAATGGTTTTTAGATGTTTTATTTCCCTTTTCCAGGATAATCTGATCTTCTAGGAGGCCAATTTTCAAGGACAGTAAGCAACAAAAATAAAATGTGTATTGTTAAAAAAGAGGAGTACATGGAAAGGGACTGAATGTGCTTTCCAAGTATGAATATCAAAGGCCTCATCCTAATTAGAAAGATCCAACCATTAGTGGAAAACATAAGCACTGATGTTATGCACAAAAATATTTATAGTTTGCACTAAAATAATTGCATTATATTGGAAAATGTTTAGTGGTCAGTCCAGTCCTCCAAATTAAAAAGAGAAGCAGGGAAAGTAAAGAAGAAAAGCTTGCAGCAATTCCATAGTGTACAGCTGAGTACAAATAGGAGCTTTTCCATGTTTTGCAAGTCAGAGTCCACTGACATGTTGATTCTTGGAGATCTCATCTAGGAATCCTCACATTAAAGTAGTCTTGTGAATTGCTTCCATTGTCCTTTTCTTGATTCTGCTTGAAGGGAGAAAAGTAAGAAAATTGTTCTAAATGCCAGATCCAACCCAAGAAAATGTTTGTGAAACAAGTTTCTGATTGTGTCCTGTTCTTTCCTTTTTCACTCGCCAAGCAACTCTGGAAGTCTAGCAGTTTTTGTCATAACTTGTATTTAGAGTAGTTGTGTTGTAAATTCAAGTCTCTTCCATAAACAGTAGGTCTAGTGTACCAGTGGCCATTTGGGGTGCATTTGCATGAGTCAAATTGAAAAAGTACTCTGTAGGCATTTTTAATACTACATTCTTAACCTCACCAGCAGAGAGAGGTGATTAGCCCAAATCAGTGTACTTATTTATTTAACAAACTTCATGAAACATAAGCTAGGCGGATGCTACTAGTGAGCCTTCAGCAGAATCTGCTATATAAACCAGTTGCTTTATCTTGCTAAGGATAATGGCTGTATTGATGGGTGAACCTTTCATTGTTTGCTTGCAGAGCAGATACATTCACTTGCCACGTGATAAACCAGATAGAATTAATTACAAGCAAGTAGATCTCATGGTTAAACACATCACCACCACCACCACCCCAATAAAAAACCATTAGCCTGGAATGCTAATATCCATGAGCAGGAATAGCCAAAAGTAAGCACCCCTATCTGTTTTTAATTATTTTCATATATTACATAGTATCTCATTCATCCACTATTAGACATTACATAGTACACCCTAGGAATGTTAGACTCTAATTACTCAGAAATTAAGCTGCTACTCTTATATTCTGAGGAAGGATTTAGAGAAAGATTAGCCTCTGAGGAAGAAAGCAAAGTTGAGATATACAGTAATCTACAGTTCCTGGTAGGGGTGTGTTTATAAGTGTTTATTTGTGTACCTGGTTAATTCATAGATGGGAGATGACCAGAAAATCCTAGGCTAGACTGGAAAGTAAAAAATAAGAGGAAGAGGAGGAGGAGCAGAGAGCAGCAGTGGCAACCCACGCATTGCTGCCCAAAACCACATGACCAAGGCCATCCTGTATAATGACCCAGAAGTGGGATCAATTTGAAGGAGTCTTTATTTTGTTTTCTAGTCTGTAGTCCCTGGCTAAAGCCTTCCCAGAAATATTGAACAGAGCAATCTGACATTGGAGTCAATGGGTTGTTGGTGTAATATGATGGGTCTTTTGTTATGCCTAGAGCACAATCCCAGAGGAGACCAGGTTGCGCCACCTGTTCCTGATACACTGCAAACCATGATCAGGTGGCTGTTAAAGAATTGCTTATTCTTAT